AAAGTGACTTATGGCTGTTTCGCATGACCACTGCAGCATCGCCGTGATCACATGATCAAAAATGAGATGCCTGGAAACTGGTTCATATTTATGATGGTCGCAGTGTCCCGGGGTCATGTGATCACCTTTTGAGACCTTCTGACAAGCAAAGTCAGTGAGGGAAGCCAGACTCACTTAACAATCATGTTACTAATTTAACAACTGCAGTGAGTCACTTAACAAATGTGGCAAGAAAGTTTGTAAAATGGGACAAAGCTCCCTTAACTGTCTCACTTGGCAACGTAAATTCTGGATGGACTTCAACTCCCAGAATTCCCCAGCCAGCATGAATTTTGGGACTTGAAGTCCACACATCTTAAAGTTGCCAAGTTTGAAAAACACTTCTTCTTGTGCCATATCTGTTATCGGATGTTGGCAATCATGTTGTTGATCCTGTTTTTATTAGCAGCCGCACGAAAAAGTGCTGCTGAGTTTTGTTCAAATCAGTCCCTTAGATTTTGAAGCCATGGTATTCTTCTTCTGCCTGGACCTCGTTTGCCTTCAATCTTTCCCTGGAGGATTAAATGGAGTATGCCCTATTTTTCTGGGTGTCGCATCACATGTCCGAAGTATTCTTTCATTTTTTAACTGTTTTGAGGATTTCCCTTGGCTTTCCCAGGCGGCTTATCACCTCCTCATTTCTGATCTTGTCAGCCCAGCTTATACGTAACAGCCACCTGTAAATCCACATTTCAAATGCTTCTAGTCTCTTCAGGTGGCCTTCTGTCAGAGACCAACTTTCTACTGCATCAAGCCAACCAGCTTCTTCCAGGTGACCAGTGGAGTTAAAACAGTAATGACAATAAAAACTACCCAGCTAATGCCCCTCTGCATATACAGTGTGTTCACTTGTCAAAATCCACTGCCATAGTCAGGAAAGGTGCCACGGCCTCATTCTTTTCTCAGAGCTCCTGCCAATGAAAAAAAACCACCTACCCACCAGCTCTGCAGAGCTCTAACATTTCAGCTGGAAAACTAAACTCACTGTGAATTTGGAGGCATGACTGCTGATCTGGAAATAAATGGGCCCAGTTGCTAAGCAGAGACATTACGGCATCCCAGAGGTCAGGCTCTGATTTGGGAACGGTGCAGAGGCAGCTTGTAGAAGCGCCCTCTCTATGCTTAATGTTCTACTGCAAGCATTAGCAGCCAAGAAAAATGGTTGTTGCCATCCAAAGAGCAGAATTCCTGCAAGCCCTTTAAGTATGCAGTCTAAAATTATCCAACTGAAGCCACTGCTTAAAAGTAATGTTCTCTGAATTTAAGGGGTTTTTCCATCTAGGAAGCACATTTCAAAATGCATGTCAGGAATCCCATTATCAGCCACCACCCAAAATCTGTACCCGAGCTAATTGACAGAAAAACAAACACAAGCTGAGGATTGGATAAATATCTTTTATGTTGAAATGCATAGGTGAGTCCATTCGATTATGATACTGGCTACAGAGAATCACAAGCCAAAGAGAAGGTAGGAATCGTGGGTGTCTGATTATCCCCAAATTGGTGATAGTGGGGGGAAGCAGGGTAATTAGCAGAGAGAAAAAAATGAGGCAGGAAACTGATGGAAGACTTATGCATTGTTAGGGTTGAAGGAAAGAACTATAGAAATATTTGGGAAAGAACAAATTGGCACCCTGTAGAGCAGGGCTGAGGAATTATGGCCCCTTTATGACCTGTGGACTTCAACTCCCAGAATTCCTGAGCCAGCAACTGAGCCAACCAATTGAAGTCCACAGGTCATAAAGAGGTTATGGTATGTTTCCCACCTCGGCTCTATAGACCTTGTTCACTGCTCATAAACTCAGAACTCTGGATTCTACAACCTTCTGCTCTCCCTATGGGCTACGTTAGATACTTGTGCAAATCGCTCTGCTTTTCTGTAACATTATTGGCCTACGATGTAAATAGGCATCAATGCCCCTGGCAGCTCTATATTTTGGCATCTCCATCTATATCTATCTTGCTTTGCAATTCTAGGACTGATATATTATATAAAGCTTGGGAATTCTCCCTACCCTTCTACTCACTAGCTCAATATATTGGATTTCTATATATTTTAAAAATGTTCTGTCTGCCAGAGAGGGAGAACATGAAAGTCTACCAAGCTTCAGTTGTTATTGGTCTGCAACATTTTTCCTCAATCAGCAGTAAGGAAGAAGAGAGGGGCACGAAATTGTAGATCAGTATGGAGAAGGTTGCTACCAAGTGATAAGAGTTTCGACCAATGTAAAGGAGAGAAAAAACAGCAAGAAACTGCTTCTTGAGCATGAGAGGGATTAACATGTCAATATTTCGTCTTTCCTAAAATACGTCCTGCTGTCAGCAGAATAAGTCACCCTTTTACCTCACCCCACCTGCCAACTAAATTCAGTTCTCATTCATCTGTAGCACAAATTCATATGAGTAAACACTTCAAGAGTGTGAATAAACATTGCACTTTCAATGCACCATCTCACAACAATTCAGTAGCTGACACAGGCTACGGCAGGAAAATTTTACTTTCCAGTGGAGTTCTATCATCAGCTAAATAAATACCAAGATGTGGGTTTTTTTTCTGCACCAAAAAAGTAATTGGGAAGAATCATGAGGGGATGTTTACATTCCAGTCATTAGTGATGCTCTCAGAATAGAGAGTAAGATCTCAGTTTACCATACCTCGGTTTTAAAGCTGTAAAAAGACAGTCAGGTGTAGCTTGGAAGAGATGGATGTCCCTTTAGAAAGATGGAAACATGGAAGGTACACATATTTGTTATGTACATATAAATAAATTCATTATATAATAGTTAATGCGTGAAAGAGAAGACAAAGCTTTTATCTCAACATGCTGTTCTGTGGAAGAAGACACATCTTTTACCCAAAGTCTTACCAAATTTGCCACCATCATTGCTCTTTCAAGTTTTTATTTACAACTGTTGAGTTGGTGAGGGGAAGCCATTTTAGAGGAAGGTGTTAATGTTGGGGAAATTAAGACTCAAAGGGCCAGGAGGTTGTGCCACATACAATGTGATGCAGCATATCTCAACTTTGGCAACTTTAAGAAGTATGGACTTCAACTTCCAGAATTCCCTAGCCTGCCATGTTGGATAGGGAATTCTAGGAATTGAAGTCCTCATATCTTAATGCTGCCAAGGTTGAGAAACACTGATGCGATGCCTAGGAGGGAGAACTGGTGAGGTTTTCACAGGATTTTGGGAAGGAAAGTCTAATAACAATGTGTGAGGTGCAAGGAATCAAGGTTTTAAGAAGACAAATACATCAAGTATTATAATATTCCACTGTAGCAGATAAGACTAGGAAAAGCACCATGGAGGTGAAGCGGAAGATTATAATTTGCAAATGGATATTAACTGAAATGAATATCAGAAATTATTTGAACCATTAATTAATGGAGAGAGGAGGCAATCTTTCTTCCTTGATAGCTTCCCAATTTAAAAAAGTATTTCAAGGGAGTAACTCAGAATCACTTAATGTAAACTAGATATCCTCTGAGATGGGGTTTTCCAACTTGGCATCCTGCAAATGTGCTAAAATTGGGATTTCTGAAACTACAGTTTTGACACATCTGAAGGAAAAGTGCAGGAAACTCAATGTTTTAAGCCTGTGAAGAAATATCTCCTCTACATACTACAATAGTAGCAACTAAAGAGTAAGCTCTCTTCCCCCAACACTTTCTATGTAAATGTAGCATTCTGAGATTGCTCTTTCTCCATTAATTACATATCCAGGTTTATGGTGGTTCTGTTAAATGTGGATTTCTCTAATTTAATAAATGCATGCCACAGCATTCCCGTTCTAGAGCCCAAATCGCAGGCAGAGTTAAGTGATTCAATGTGCGCTTCATATTTAGATCTCTGTTTTCACTGCACAACTACATTTTACTATGTAGCTGTCATTTTGTTGCATTATTGATCAGGATATTTTCTAAAGCTTGGCATCCATTTTACAGTCCTGAAATAAGAGCAGAAGGTATAGTCTGAATAGCTTCAAGTTAAATTTCACAATACCCCTCTCACAAAATACAGCCGTTACCCTTTGGCCACTTATTTTTACAAAACGTATGCATGGCATAAAATTAGCTGGGTAATTGGTAAATGGTTTAACCATTTCTAACCAGATGAGTCATCTAGTACCCTAACTACCTGGGGGAAATTAGAAGGATGTTACTAGAACCAGTCTTCTACTCTTTCATTCATTCATTTTCAGTCAAATCATGATCTCCTACATACATCATTTGAAGGACCATCACAAAAGACACAGAGAAGCTGAACTCCTGTGGAAAGATTACAAGGCAGAAACGATTTTTATAAAATTCCTTGCATCAGTAGTCTGATATGTGAGAGGACAACCTTGATCAAATTTCAGGACTCGCCAAAAGTTAATTGTAATAAGAATTTCTCTCTTATCCAAGCTCTAAAACATTCTTTCCCTTGATGTAGCTATATATCTATATTCATTTACCTAAATATATATTGTGTGTGGTGTGTGTGTGTGTGTTCATGTGTATTCATCTGAGTCAGAGATCCCCAACCCCTGAGCTATGGCCCACCACCAGGCCTTGAGCCATTTGGAACCAGGCTGCAGAAATGGCAAGCGAGCGCGCCTGCATCCCCACTTGCGCGAGCAGTGGGTGCCTGCCCCCCACTCATACAGAACCATTCCCTCTCCCCTTGCTCCTGCTGGTCCACAAAGCCGGAAAGGTTGGGGAACTCTGGTCTGAGAATTTGTGTCCATGTGTGTGTGTGTGTGTGTGTGTGTGTGCTTTCTCATTCCCAACCTCATCAGTTTGATTGCACCTAAGGGAAGGAAAGAAAGAGGGAAGCAACACACCAGAGAATGCAATTAACAAAATATTTCTGGAGATCAGAGTTAGGATTGGGTTTCAACTTGGACTCGTGCTCTTAAGAACAGAGTCCAACAGCCAAGGTTTAACGTGGGGATGTTGGGTGATTACGGATCATTCTCACACTAGGGAAGTAGGAGAAGGGATCATTCCTGCTGGGGAGAGAGGCATGCCGGTTGGGGAAAGAGGCATGCTGGTTGGGGAGAGGCTTCCCTGCTGCAACATGGATGGATGCACGAAGTCAGGGTTGATGTAAGTAAATCCTTGGAATTCACTCTGATCGAGGCTTGCCAGGACCAGCTGGTCTGGGGGTGTCAGCGCTGGTGGTGCCCGTGTAAAGAACTTGTCAAAGTTTTCGCCACTCCGGCCACACTAGAGCAGACGTAGAAAAAGAAAAGGACAGAAGAGATATTGAGGGAAGAAGCTGAGGAGAAAGTTATTTTTCAGTCTGTTAGTACAAACATTTCTTTCCTCATTTACTAGCTACCGCTTAAACTACCTAAATCAGGGGTCTTCAATCTTGGCAACTTCATGCTTTGCTGGCCGAGGAATTCTGGGAGTTGAAGTCCACAAGTCTTAAAGTTGCCAAGGTTGAGGATCCCTGACCTAAATGATATTTATGAAATTAATGGTGAACACACATTCTGAATTTTACACTTAAGATTCTGAGGAAGGAAAAAACAAACAAGCTTCTGCAAAGAGTTTTTTGTCCAGAACCATATGAATTCATATATTCCTCAACTTACAACCATTTGTTTAGCAATTGTTCAAAGTTACAACGGCACTGAAAAAAGTGACTTACAGCCGGTCCTCATACTTACAACCACTGCAGCCTCCACATGGTTATGTGATCAAAATCTGAGCATTTGGCACCTGGCATGTATTTATATTTTGCAAATACAATTTGCCATTTGCAATCTTCCCAAACAGTTTCCAACAAGCAAAGTCAACGAGGAAAGCTGGATTTGTTTAATGACCTCGGGATTCACTTAATAACTGCAGTTATTCACATAACAATGGTGGCAAAAAAGGTCATAAAATCAAAGTACAACTTCACTTGACGCCTGCCTTGCTTAGCCATGGAAATTCTGATCCCACCCACGGTCATACGTTGAGGACTATCTGCATAACTTTCCTTTGTGATTCCTCTCATATTTTTCTATTCTTGAAAACATTGCAGAGAACAAAATAATATAAACTCTGCTTGGGGAATAATTGATGAGCCTGTCATTTGGCAACCAGCAGCTACTCACGGGCTTGGGTGTGAAAGGTGGAGCAATTTCCAACTGTTCCAGTTTCTCCCAGTCCATCCAGCGGAAAAATCCATGCTCCCGAATATCCCGTTCCCCTTCTGGTCCTGACCCCAGGCGCTTCAGCGGATGTTTGGTCAAGAACTAGGGGACAGAGAGAACTTTGCTAACACTGCATTTTTACGTTAATTAAAGTACCAGATTGGGAGATATAATGGCAATGCGGAAGACCACTGTTATTTCAAGGAGTTGAGTGACGTATTTTGATTTATCCTTCATATTAAGAAAAGTCTAGTTTAGAATTCATTGTGAGCTAACCTGTTTGTTTTTTTTACTCTTGCTACTGAATAAAGGAAAAGGAAGGGAGATTCTTCACCAAGCTACAAAGCTTTTCTTACAGTGAAAGCCTCCGATTTTTAATTCCCATCCCAGAGTGATGTGCCACACAGTCAAGATCAAGTCCTGCAGTCTCATCACCCTAGCAGGGCCATGAAGTCATGGGGGCAGGTTTTGGTTAAAAAAAAAAACCCTTTGGTGTTATCGTTTTTTTTGCTGGGAGCTTTGGCACAGACCTTAGCATTGCGTACTGTGGGAATTGGCCACCCTTAGAACATCTCTGCTATCATTATTCAGGAGTCCCTGGCAGCTTGTAAGAGATTTGGGTATCAGCTTGCTTGGTATGTATGCTTTTTATGTTGTGCTTTTAAATCTGTTTGCTTGGGCTAATAATAAAGCTTAAAAATCCCTTTATTCATTGGTGTGCTTATTGTCTCTGGATCCAAAAGAACCAACTGCCTGAGCATCTGATACTTGCCCTGACACTTAGCAAAACAGGAGGAGACACTGAAATAAGCAAAAAAGGGGTTCCCATATTTGCCCACGGAAGCAGAGGCACACCCATGGGAAAAAGAGATGAAATAAATACTTACATTGTTTCCAAACATAGTGATTTTCCCCTATCAATGTCCCCTGCCCCCAGTCTTCAATGTAAGCTCAGATTGCTTTTTGGTTTTTAAAACCAAGCAGGGAACAAATCCATATAAATGTCAAAGGCCAGATTTCTTTAGAAGGCAATCCATCAGTTCAGCATTCCTCAATATAGCCCAGATGTGTTGGACATGATGCTGAGAAGTATTCGAACTGAAGTTCAATACATCTCAAAACCAAAGGGGAATCCTGTATCAACTGACCCTTCCCTGCAAAATCGTACATCTTAGAAATGTTTCTTGTAGCATTAGATATGTAATGATATGTGAGAACGACCTTGGGACACAGGAGCCAGAAGAGAAGCTGCCTAGGGAACTATCAGATAAGAGGGGACGTAGCCTGCAGCTGCATAACAGGAAGAGAAAGGGACCCAGAAAAGAACCTCCCTAACTTATCAGATGGTAAAAGAGACAGTATGAGATTTGTACTTTCAAACTTGTGAGGTTCCGTTAATGTAGCCTTACAATGAAGTAGAATTGGCTGAACTGGTCGTGTTTCTTTTCTGGACTACCTGGGAAGGATGACAAGGTACAATCTTTCATGTTGTCTCAGGAAATATGATAAGGAGCCCCTTCCACCTAGGTGTGCCTAGGTTCTGAATCAAGACTCACTCCTTTGCAGATGGAGACAGCCTCTCGTGAAAGAGATTTAGGATAGGATACTGTATGTTCCATAATCGATTGGAAGAGCTCATCCTCATCCTCTCCATCAAATGGTGGCTGAAGACCAAGAAAATACAGGGAAAATAAACAATAAATTATTCCACTTTCCCCCCCAGAAAGAATAGCATGTGTGTGAAATGTTTGGTCCATTAAATACATTTTCCTACTTGGAAGTCTCAGTAGTGTACAAAACTACTTCAGGTAACACAGATAAATAACACTTCCTGCATCTTTGAGCCACTTTTCCAGGTTTTGGGATAAAGAAGGTTGCAGAATTGCACTTGGATTCATACAGAGAACCAAAGTAGTCCTCTTCCATGCATGATGAACAAAATAAATAAAGGCCCCTGGAAGAACGGAAGGAATCTTACCCCATTTCTACTTTACATTTCTGAAATCGCATGAATGCTCCAGGTATCTTTTATTAAACAATGTCTTCTTGTTAGAACGGCATCGGCCCAGAAATTAAGATGGCCGCAATGGCTGTTCCCCCAGGCCAGGGGTGTCAAACTTGCAATGTCACATGACATGTCGAGACATATCTCGACTTTTTTATCCATTGCCGGCAATGGGGTGGGCGTGGTTTTGGCATGACAGATCTGGCCCGTGGGCCGGCAGATTGACACCCCTGCCCTAGGCCTTTGGGTCAGGGTGGGGATGGGCTCTGCTGCTCTGGCTAATCATTTCTCCTTGGACCCTGAGGGGGTGGTTATGTTTGGAGGGGTTCTCAGTTCTAATTTTGTCAGCTGTCCAAAGTCACTTGGGTGAGATGGGCAACTATGTAAATGACATTAATTAATTAATGAAGAATTGTCCACCTAACACTAAATTTAGTGGAAACGTATCTTTCAGCTTTAATGCAACATCTTTTTCTCAGTCTCAATTCTTAAGGTTTTTACTGGGCTAAGAACCACTAAGCATGTTCTTCCCCTCGTTACTCCTAGCTTCTCATATGAGACTGGTGCTCCTTAGAATCCAGTAACGAATGCTAGTTTGCTATCAGAGACTCAATGAGCAACAAATTCCCTATTTTTTTCCCCCTACAAATTCCCTATTTAAGAGATCAGTCCCTTATCTGTATCTTTCAAAATTAATCTGTTTCAAAGATCTCAGCCCCATTTGGAAATGATGAAAATTCTCTGGAGCACACATTCCCCCACCCAGGAGATAGTAATGACTGAGTTTAATCCCTAATAGCCTTTGCTTCCTGATCTCATGGCTTCATGGCTATCAATCTTTAAACACATTTTTGAAGTGGAGTCAATAGTAAAGAATCCTTGTGTAGCGGGGACTGCCTGAGAGTGCTTGCAGGAGCTTGACTGGGAAGGGGAAGATTGGGACAGCTGCAGTTGGCTTGGGTGTGACTGGCGTGAGTGGAAGGAGGAAGGATAGAAAAGGGAAGAAAAGGAGAAGGCCGGGGTTGGTTGGAGTTGAGAAGAGAAGGTCTGGAAGCTTATTTTATTTTTCTATCAAGGGTATTTTAAATAGAGGCTAGATAGAGTGAAGTTTTATTGCTTCCTCCGTGGGAGGATATCTGAGACGGAGGCAAGCGAGAGTGTGAAGNGTTTAAAGGGCCCTGCTGCAGAGGCCATTAGGAGTCTAACATTGGGTCGGGGACAGTTTACTGTGCGTGACTACCTCTCCTTGTTGCAGGATGAGTTTGGGTCAGTTGAGACGGTATCTAGTTTACTGTTCCGGTTAGAACATATGTATCAGAAGAGGGGTGAGAAGTTGTCTGAATATATAAGGCGCCTGAATAGATTCTGCGCATGCCTGAAGATGGCGGGTGGCTCCGGGTAGCTCCGTAGTAGCGGAGCTTGAAAGAAACAGCAGATGGGAGTTTTGGAGGTCCCCGGAGGTCCGGAGACCCTTCCCTGGGTGACCCTTCCTCCCGGGATTGGAATTCGGGACGCGAGGAGACGTGGGGACGCGGGGACACCACACTGACCGGGTATGTGTCCGGCTGGCCTTCCCGGTCTTTTCCGGCCGCGGCGGCCCCTCGGCGGCCTCCTCGGCGTCTTCGGCGACCCACTCGGCCCCGGAGGCTCTCTTCGGAGGCCTCGGTGGCCCTCTCCAGCGACCCTCTCCGGTGGCTCCGGTGGCCCTCCCCAACGGCCTTTTAGCGGCCCGTTCCAGCGGCCTTCCCGGGGGCTTCAGCGGCCCCCTCCAGCGGCCCTCTCCGGCGGCCTCAGTGGTTCTCCTCGGCGGCCCTTTCCAGCGGCCTGGCGGCCTTGGCGGCCCTTTTTGGCGGCCCTCTCCGGTGGCCTCAGCGATTCTCTCCGACGGCCCGGCGGCCCTTTCCAGCGGCCCTGGCGACCCTCTTGGGTGGCCCCCTCCGGGGGCCTTCGGCGGCCTCTTCCAGCGGCCTTGGCGACCCTTTTAGGCGGCCCCCTCCGGTGGTCTCGGCGGCCCTTTTCAGCGGTCTGGACGGCCTTTTCGGCCTCGGCAGCCTTCCGGTGGCCTCGGCGGCCCTCTTCAGCGGCCCTTTCCGGCAGCCTCGATGGCCCTCTCCAGTGGCCTCCGCCGGCGGCCGCGACGCCTTTTTCCGGTGGCCCTTTCCGGTGGCTTCGGCGGCCTCTTCGTGGGTTACCCTGGCGGCCTCGGCGGCCCTCTCGGCGGCCCGCCTGGCCTCGATGGCCTTCTCCGGCGATCTTGGTGGGCCTTTCCAGCGGCCCTTTCTGGCGGCCTTGGTGGGCCTTTTCAGCGGCCTTGGCGGCCTTGGCGTTTAGGCCGGGGGAAGATCTGGGACCTGGCGGCCTGACCGGACTGGGGTTTAACCGGGGGGACTTGTGGCGTGGCCTGGCCCTGGCCCGGCTTGTGCCGGGTGAAGATCTGGGACCTTGTTTCCATCACCCCCTCTGCTGCACTGAATCTCCGCTGCTGGACTTAAGAACATTGTCTCGGAAATGTACCCTAGGACGGTCCTGCTGGCCTTGCGCGATTCCCCCTTCGCGCAGGCCTGGCCTAGTATATTTCTAAAGGCCCACCTTGAGGATGGGGTGTGGAACCCCGAGAGGTGGCATGCAGCGGCTACA